TATCAAATTGGAGAGAGAGATCAAATCGGAGAGCGAGAGATCGAAAATCGGGGAGCGAAAGAGCGAGAGATAGAGAAAGATCGAGATCTTGTGGTTTACAAAGGAGGGTAATTTAGGAATCTGAGAAAAAGAAGGTGGCGTTTTTGTAAAAATTGCAAAAATATGGTATTTTTGTAAAGTGGCATGAAACATGTGGCATATCTTAAAATTTCTCTTAAACTATTAACAATCCTTTTAAGTTCTTTTGTATACATTGAATGATCCAAATTGCATTTCTGTATATTTTTTATCTATAAATTGTACGTAACAAAATCTTATCTATTGTCTTACAATTCTGAAATTTATTATTATTATTTTTTTTTGTCACAAGTTTCATTCATTCACTAAAGGTAAAATTCCATAAAAACACCTCAACTAAATTCCGATAAGTTTTTTAATACCCTAACTTAATGAATGCCTAAATAAATACTCTGATTATTTTTTTGACCAGTTTAATACCCCAACTCTTGTCCGTCTATTTAGCTTACAAACTTGAGTTAATGGAACAGTACCTTCCATTATTTTTTCATTTTTTAATAACATAGTAACATAATTTGCCTCTATCAAAGAGGAAAGAGTTACATACCCAAAGATTGTTAAAGCTAAAACATCAGCAAATATATTGTTGGAATGACAATAGAAAAAGGCAACAAAGTCAAACTGACCACATATACTTCTAACATCTTGTAGAAGATCTTTGAGCTCTAAAGGTGAGCATCATGCCATGAAGTGCAAACAAATCACCTTGCAATCAAAGAATACATTGATCTGACTAAAATGTTTTACTCTAAATATTGCTAAATGACTATTTTTTTTTATTCTTAAACAATTGGCTTCCGGGATAGCCGTCTTCAAAGATAGAGTTTTCACAGTCCAAACGGAAACTGTGAAGTCTCGAATTGCCGAAGAATGAGACCAATGCTTTGCACAACTAGAGGTAGCAACCTGAAATATACTCTTGAAACAATTCCATCCAATAAAAGAAGGCAAATTGGGAGGAAAGAGAACTCCATGAAAGAGTAATAAGAGTTGTTAATGCTAACAATTAAGACTGAACCCTTAACAACAATATAGACTATCGTAAAACTAGTAACAACCTCTATACAAAGTAAGAGTGAGCCACATTTTCTGTGACCAGAGAACACAACAACCAATACAAGGGTCCAAGATCAGATTCTACAATGCTTAATCTAACATCACAAGGCAACCAAGCACTGTTCATTGTAAAGGCATTGATCTTTACTAGAGGACATTTCGTAACTAATAAAGGGAAAGACTTATACCGAACTTGAAGGACACGGTTGTTGGAGCGAGGAGCCACGAGTAGGGGATTGGGGAAACAAAGATGACCACTGAGAGGAATAAGCTGCAACATTCTCTCCATGAAGGTGTAAATTTTGAGAAGCAATCTGGCCGTGGAAGGGTAAAGTGCATGTCAAAGTGGAAGTCTTCAAAATCGAGGGTGAGCAAAGAGCAAGAGTTCTTCCCATACATGAGTAGGCGAGGACACCACCCAAATGAGCTAAGAGCATCTCCAAATGGTGTAACACTAAAATAGTGTTGAGTTTTACCAACAATGTATTACACCATTTTTTACACCAAACAAAATATTCTAAGCATATTCTCTTTCTTAATTCTTTAATAATTACGAATTGATCCCATCTACTTTTCTAAAATTAAAAAAATTATGAAATAATTTAAATTTAACATTTTTTATATAAAGAAATACATTTCAACATATAAAATAACAAAATATATTAATTTTTTGTTTAATTATCACCAAACATATTAGATTTTGGTTTAATCATCAACATTTATTTATTTTTTTTATCAATTTTAAAGTTTATTAAAATTTGAAAGATTTTTTTATAAATAAAAAAGTTCAAAACCAAAATGGTGTAAACTCATTTTTTACACCAAGTTGGTGTAGAAAATAGGTTTACACCATTTTCGTGTTGAAAATAGTTTTGGGTTGAAACTAATTTTAAACCAAATCTGGTATTGGGTTAGAGATGCTCTAAATCATGGGCTTCGAACGAGATCTGGAAATCTCGATGTGGGGGAAAATAGATAGCACATGGCTGTAAACGGTCACAAGGACGCAAGCCTTTTGAGACACGAGTAATGAAACTCGAAGTGGCGGAACGGTGATGGACGACAGAGGAAATCAATGAGTTGAGATGGATTGTGGAGTAGCGTGTAGTTCTTTAATTTTGAGCCGAGGAAAGATCCGCACCTTGGATGTATAGAAAGACAACAAAGATCTTGTCTTTTGCAAGCCGGAACTGAAGCAAGGTAACTCCACCGATCACCGGAACCGAATTCTCCTTTCTCACGAGTTGGTCGGAAGAGCATATCGATCGCAGAAAACGATTCAGATAAAGCAAGGAAGAAACATATGAACAGAGAGAATGAGCACACATCCGACGCCGGAGAGCTAGGGGTCCACCAGCGCCGGAGAAGAAACAGTTTTCAGATGTCTCGAGAATCGTCTATGGAGCGTTGTGGCTTCATACAAAATAATTATTACATGAACTAATCACATAAGTCATTGAAGTTGTGTTCTAAAGAAGAGCCTCTACCCCTCATTCACTTGCTGTAAAATATAGCAATCGTCTATAAAACTAATTTGATCGTATGGAGTTTTCATTGGCTTTTTCCACAAACGAATAATCATGGACTACAGTTCAGTACAATATTCCAATATGTGTAATTTTCGGATATTTTGATCAATTAAGGAGTATTGAGTAGCCAATCATTATTGACATTGTAGTACTAACAATATGAACTTGAAATGATTATAATTAAAAACAAAAAAAAATAATTTCAAACCGGTCATCCAATACAAAATCATAAGCTTCTTTTATTATTATCAGTATTGTAGTTTATAATTT